CCCCCCCCCCCCCCCCTTCTCCCAAAAAAATAAAACAAAAATTTTAAAAAAAATGGAGACGAAAGGCAAAAAAGGAAAAAAGCTGCTTTTCCCTCTTTCACACTTACTGTATTGGACCATACACACTATTTAAGAATGTGAATTGAAATCAAGTGGTCTGGAAAGATATGTAATTAGATTCTTCATATAGAATTCAGATTAAGCTGTGTGTAGGTTCCTACAGTATCAATGATGTTTTAAATTTGAAGCTTAAAGTTCTGATGGTGCATAGCTCAGCATATTCTAGTCCAACCATTTAATGATCAAGCCAAGGCTGCTAACCAGAAAATTATCTATTTAAAAATGGGTTGTATTGTCTAAGTTATTTCTTTCAGGTTGGCATAGACTGAATTACATAGTTGGGAACTTTAGGATAATAAAGCACGAGGCGAGTGGTTTCGGGCAAAGATCAAAATATCTTTTTGAAACGGTAGAAACATCTGAAACGTTAATGTTTCCAAGGAGACGAAAACGAATCAGTAATGAAATCAAAATTCTAATATTTTGAGGTATTCCATAATGTTTTGAAATATTTTGTTATATTTCAATGGATTTGCACAATTATTTTGGAATGTTTTAAGGTATTTCAAGATATTTTGGTATATTTCGATCAATATTTTGAAAAAATAATTCTTAATTTTTTTATTTTTTTTCATTCTATTTTTGAAATGGGTGGAAATGTTTCCGAAACACATCGAAACGTTTTTGTTTCTTAAATGACCGAAACAATGCACCGAAACGAAATTTTGATCCTTGATTTTAGGTAACCATTGGTGGTTAATAGAGGTGGCCAGGCACACCTTTTGGTTTTGTAATGTTCAATCCAGATGGGAGCTTGGATGGAAATCCAGGTATCAAAGTTGGGGAGGAGGTATGTTGAGAGACTGTAGTTGTAGGAATATACTCGTTTAGTATTGGGAGTTTTGATAGAAATTCATGTATCAAGTGTGGAAGAGGTTCAATAACAGATGATAGTAGTAGAAAGTATGCTTGGAATTGTGAATATTTTTATACTGACAACGACCGAGCTGTTGGCAATCGACTACGTTTTGACACCAGAATGAGGGAGGGGTTACAAAAAAGATTATATTGGAGGCTGACTAAAACAACCCTGAGATTGATCCAAAATAAAGGCTGTAATGAGATCATATCTCCCAACCCATTAACAGTGTGAATAATGTATGCACAAGAATCGTGAATGCGAGCTGGTTATCAAGTTGGCAATTCTCTGCAGATAACAGCCAAAACGAGTCATACTTACCCAACAGGGATGATGATGATGCAACCTGCGAAAATTTTAGAGCTTCCCTTAATGATGTAGTTGGGGTTTTTCTATGCTTTTGCTCCTTTGGCTAGTCAGAGGTTGGTGCCTCATCTTCATTAGTAAGAAAGGCTACAACATCAACAATAATGTACCAAGTATCAAGATAGTATCTTCTATTGTTTCACTTGAGCCTTGCTCTTTGTTGAATTGAAGAAACCATTTGACAAAGCATATTCATCTTTTTGGCATGGTTCAATAAAATTATATTCGACTTGATATTGGAAAGCATTTATTATTCATAGGTTGTTATCTAAGAAGCATATGGAACACTAGTAGCACATGATGCGGATATAGTGATGTGGCAAAACCTAAAAAATAGGATACGAATATGATAAAGATATGTTTGTAATAAAATATTTTTGATATTTTTTACTATTATCTAATGACTTAATAATATTTTTTTGTTATTCTTCAACAATTATACAAAAAAATAGTAATTTTTAATTAAAAAATTTTTTACATCGTCCTATTTCGTTATATCAACAAAGTGAATGTGACTAATTCAAGGAGTCAAAATCAACATTTTTAGTTGGTCTGCTTACAAGTACTTCTTGACGAGATATGATGTAATTAACTCATATTATGCTCTTTTGACAAGTGAAAGTAGATAATATTTAAGAAACACCTACGTGTCTTCAAAGTATACTTTATGTGTTGCATTGTATTGGTAGAAATGAGTAAAGATTGAAATTAGAAACTATGCATATTGCTTTAGGTATGGACTTCCATATCCGAAGCAAATTCATTATGGATGCATATCCACTAAATATCCAAATATTTTATTTATTATTGGATACATATGTCACATATCCATTACGCATCCTTGAGTATCCAATGAGTGTTGTATCGAATACATTTTCGGATATAGATACATCTACCTTAACGAAATATCACTGTTTCATAGTTTATTATTGTAAGAAGGTGACATTTGTGAGGAGTTTTTCTTCTTTTTTGTTTTTCCTAATTTTCCAATTTTTATTGAATAAATTTCAACTTTTACAGCCTCAAGCGAGAGAAAAAGCTGAAAAGGAGGGATTTGAAATTAGTGTTGCTAAGACTAGTTTCAAGGCTAACACAAAGGCCCTCGCTGAAAATGAAGGGGAGGGACTTGCTAAGGTGATATATATTTCCTTTCACGTTGAATAGTTCTTTTTATTTCGTTTGGAATGCAACAAGTTTTCTTCCTGGTCAACACTAGGATTATGTATTGTGTTCATTGAAGTATATTGTTTTAATGCAGTTGATTTACAGACCCGACAGTGGAGAGATCCTTGGTGTTCATATATTCGGATTGCATGCTGCAGACCTCATTCATGAAGCGTCCAATGCAATAGCTATGGGCTCTCGTATACAGGTCTAGTTTGAATTGACATGTTTGAACACATTAACTACTATCAGTTTCGTGTAGCAACCTTCATCTTGAACATGAAACGGAAGGTTGTAAGTTGTTAACCTGAGCCACAAGAATATATGCATTCCATTTTGGAACTTCTCCAACATAAGTGATTTATTTTTAAGAGGACTACGAACTGAGAAGGCACCTAAATGTTCATTGGAGGAGATAATTCCAATACTCATTTTTTCTCCAAATAACCAGAAATAAAAAATAAAAGATTGAGCCAGTGCAAACAGATTAGCATGATAAAAATCACCGAAGCCTTTCAATGGATATTTTTGAAATGCTAAATGGTAGTTTCATATTGAATGGGTTCATTTTCATGTTATGAAAAATATAATAATTCCAAATGGTTAAGAAGACTATTAATATTTTCAATATTTGTCGGCATATCCAACTCTTCTTTCTTCTCTTGCAAATTGCTACTGCATCTCAAAATAATGGTAGGACCTTTTTTTTGTTTTCAAATTGTTGCATGCTGCTTCACATTTTATCCATCAATTCAGAATGCTACTGATTTTATTCTCGTATTTTTATCATTTGTTGTATCTCTTGCATCCTACAGGACATAAAATTTGCTGTTCATGCACATCCAACCTTGTCAGAAGTTCTTGATGAACTCTTCAAATCAGCTAAGGTAATATCTTGATTCCTTCTGTCAAGGCTCTGGTTCAGCAAGAATTACAATAGAAGGTTCAGGGATAGAAAAATAAAACATAACCTAGTTGCGTCATTACCAATATGGAATACCGATGTCACTCTGTTCCTAGTGCTGGCTCAAAGTGGTTGTGGTGGGGCCCTGGAGGGTGAACATTCATTAATACTTTCACTGCTATATACTCGGCTAGTTGATTTTCGTCCAAATGTGGCTACAAATAAAATGCTTAAACATCAGGCTCTGGCAGTCTCTAGTTTGGGAATAATAGGTAGGACTGTCAAATGCTTGTAAGAATCCCTCATATGTGTGCATGTACAAATTGCAGGTAAGGAGGAAAGCCTCCTTAGGTCCTGAACTGAGATTCTCTCTCATTTTACACTGGTACATTAGATCAGCTATTTCACACAAATAATATGCTCCAACAAATTTGCTCTCTACATTTCCATCTATATTTGCAGCTAGATTTAATTCTTAAGCAAGCAGATGTCATCTCTTGTTAATAATATTTTGCACTTCTGTTATTTTTCCGAGGCAGGTTAAAGTTAACATTTCTAGTCCAGTTGGTGAACCTGTTGCAGTCTAAGCTTCTTGGAGTTGTATAATATATCGAATATATGATTACACAAGGTTTCTTAGAAGCTCCCTATGTTCTTCAAAGAGGAAATCGACACAGAAGAATTATACTAATTGCTGTAGTTTCTGTCATTTTTGGTTTAATATTTCGTCAATTTGGTGTCATACACCTTGAGGTGCCATCTTTTACTTTCCCAGACTTGTATACGTGCACGAGTTACGTTTTTGGTGATAGAACTCAGTTTTGTAATATGTAGCATCTAAAACATTGGCTTAGTGGTAGAAAAATGTTGAATTCGAAAATAAATGAACAATTTTACTTGGACAAAGAGGCAGTTTGTTGAGGTACAGAGATTACCTTACTATCAAGTTTGATGCAAGATAAATGGGTTCGACGTAGTGGTGCAACACCTCCCCTTCCTCCTCCTCAACCTCAAGGAGAAAAAGAAAAATCTGACAGGACCTTCGTTTCCTTCTCAACGTAGTGGTTAGCATGGTTCAAATGTAGAATGAAATAAGTTTTATTACTTAAAGCATGGTTTCATGACTAGGCCTGATATCTCATTCACCGTGAATCAGGTCTGTCAACAAGTGCATGCTCAGTGTATCTCCTACCTACTTTACTTCCGTCAAAAGAAAATCTCCAGTTTCTTAATGGCACAATCAAGTATAGTTTTCAACTTTACAAAAATTCCTTTTACTATCTATATTCTGCCCTTCTATGACACAAATGGCGACTTGCTTATCTATTGTAATTGTATGGTCTGGTGAACAATCAAGGGTTAATCTCAAATTGTACCCTAAAAGATTGTACAAATCTCAATTTGTATCGTTAAAGATTAAAATTTTCATTTTGTACTTTTAAAGATAGAAATTTGTATTAATGCGCATCTCAAACTAATAGCTGTGAGTTTGCCGTTTAAAATTAAATGGATAAATTACATCTACACTCTCTCATGTTTGTCACTTAATCACCTAGACCCTCACTTTTGAAATATTACACCTATATTCCTTGATAATACAAANGGTGAACCTGTTGCAGTCTAAGCTTCTTGGAGTTGTATAATATATCGAATATATGATTACACAAGGTTTCTTAGAAGCTCCCTATGTTCTTCAAAGAGGAAATCGACACAGAAGAATTATACTAATTGCTGTAGTTTCTGTCATTTTTGGTTTAATATTTCGTCAATTTGGTGTCATACACCTTGAGGTGCCATCTTTTACTTTCCCAGACTTGTATACGTGCACGAGTTACGTTTTTGGTGAGAGAACTCAGTTTTGTAATATGTAGCATCTAAAACATTGGCTTAGTGGTAGAAAAATGTTGAATTCGAAAATAAATGAACAATTTTACTTGGACAAAGAGGCAGTTTGTTGAGGTACAGAGATTACCTTACTATCAAGTTTGATGCAAGATAAATGGGTTCGACGTAGTGGTGCAACACCTCCCCTTCCTCCTCCTCAACCTCAAGGAGAAAAAGAAAAATCTGACAGGACCTTCGTTTCCTTCTCAACGTAGTGGTTAGCATGGTTCAATTGTAGAATGAAACAAGTTTTATTACTTGAAGCATGGTTTCATGACTAGGCCTGATATCTCATTCACCGTGAATCAGGTCTGTCAACAAGTGCATGCTCGGTGTATCTCCTACCTACTTTACTTCCGTCAAAAGAAAATCTCCAGTTTCTTAATGGCACAATCAAGTATAGTTTTCAACTTTACAAAAATTCCTTTTACTATCTATATTCTGCCCTTCTATGACACAAATGGCGACTTGCTTATCTATTGTAATTGTATGGTCTGGTGAACAATCAAGGGTTAATCTCAAATTGTACCCTAAAAGATTGTACAAATCTCAATTTGTATCGTTAAAGATTAAAATTTTCATTTTGTACTTTTAAAGATAGAAATTTGTATTAATGCGCATCTCAAACTAATAGCTGTGAGTTTGCCGTTTAAAATTAAATGGATAAATTACATCTACACTCTCTCATGTTTGTCACTTAATCACCTAGACCCTCACTTTTGAAATATTACACCTATATTCCTTGATAATACAAATATAATTAAAAATATTCCCCTAATTGGACATTCAAATAATTTTATTTAAGTGATATATTGTATTAGATATAAAGAATATTATATAAATACCAACATTATATTGGACATTTAAATGATAAACTTAATTTTAAACTTTAAAGTATAACGAGGCTACAAAATAGTATGAAATTATAATTTTTTATTAGAATAAAATCATATTTTTAATGGTTATATTAACAGATATTAACGACAATGAGTTATTTGTTACACGTGCACAAACGTCAGGAAATATAGGAATAATATTTGATGGGACATTTTCAGACACTTCCAGATGATGACACGTGTACTCGGCGTCAATGAGACTATTCCGCTTTGATCCCGACACGTGTTCATTGGTTTCCAACCCCTTGCCCCGAGGATGCTATTCACAGGGATCAAGGATCCCCAAACCACCACAGACTGACACGTATTCCTCGACAGTTTGGGTATATCAGTCCTAAATCATGCTAGTCCCTCGGCACAGAGGTGCATCTATCCGTGTGGGCGTTTCTGCTCCTGTAGGGGCTATTGATGGACAGATCACTAGCCTAGGCTAGGCTAGACTAGCCATCATGACCTCGTCTTACTCAAATGGTGTCAGGAGGCACAAGAAAGCAGAAGGTTTAACTAAAGGGGAATAAGCACGTGGCGTATTGTGTCAGATCAGAGACAAAAAGACCAGAATGTCATTGCTGACACACGACTTGGGAAAGCAAGTATTTAATGCATCCTTCCCTTGATGAGACAACATTTAATGCATGAGAGCTTGGAAGTGAAAGGTAATAAATGTCCCAAAACCTGGGCATTTAATACACCCCTGTCGAGGGAAGATCATTAAACTTTCGGCAGACCGAGGAGAAAGCATTAATTGCTCGGGGTCCCGAGCAGTAAAGAATACGAACATTCCTCATAGAAATTGGTGTGTACACTGCCCCCCTCCAATGATTATCTACTAGTTACACTGTCAGCAATGATGAGTTTTTAAGGTATAAATAGTCCTCACAAACACAGAAAGGAGGTACGCAACAAACCCTCTCTCAACCATCATACAATATTTTCTTCTTTCCTTCTCTCAAAGAACTGACTTGATCATCGGAGGGGATACGTCGAAAAATAATCCAGCGCCCTTCTAACTTGTTTTTCTTTGTTCCAGGAACATCCCTCAGCCTTCTAGGATCGCTCAAGCGACCCCTAAAAACAGTTCGTCATCACTTCATTGGCCACCTTCAACCCTCACAACCTGTTCCAAGTAGCAAGATCGAACACTCGATTGATAGACACGTGTTCACCACGAAATAGATTTGTTCTCGTGTTTATATTGTGCAAGATCGTGCACGCACAATCTGGCGCCGTCTGTGGAAAACGAACTAGTTTTCCTAGTTTCTTCTCTCGAAAGAACAGTGACCATGGTAAATACTCGATAAAAAGGGAAAGGTCCCCAACAAAGAAGTCTCAAGTTACAAGCTCCTCGTCATGGTGGGGGGAGGGATCGCGTTGATGAAAATAGGAACGTTTCTGTTCAATCACGGGGGCACACTCCTCAAACCAGTATGGACTTTAAGTTAGGAGGATCTGCCCCCTTGGCTCGTCAACTGGCAGAGGTGGTTGAAGAAAAGTTTGGGGATCGACTACGATAGTTAGAAAAAGATAATGTGAATGTCCTAAGCTGGCTCAACGAATTTGCCACCTCCGGCGAAGGATCGAGGGACTCATTCTGTTCTAGTGGACGCCTCATCCGGGAAGCAGAAACCGAGGACTTGAGGAATCATTTAAACAACAAAGCTGAGAGCTCTAGGGTCCCGAAGTGCCCGAGAGCCAATGAGCACCCCCTCGACGATCATTCCAGGAAAGCAAGGCCTTTGGTCTGAGACGACCTCCGGCGAGGACTGTCAAGGCGGGGGAAAGGAGATGAGTCCGAGGAGGATTCAACCCTTTTCACGCGACGCCCAGAGAAGGGGAACCCCGTCAATAACCTTGGAAACCTCAGAAGACATCCTCTGAGGTAGAGACTAATCTCAAAGCCCGGTTGGAATCCAGGAGAAGGGGCAAGGCTGTCCAGGATGACGCTGAAGATGAGGCCATGCAATCACCTTTTACCAGGGATATCCGAGAGATGGAGTTACCAAAGAAGTTCATCATGCCAAGGTTTAAAACTTATGATGGGCAATTCGATCCCGAAGCTCACCTCAGGCAATACAAGCAAATGATGTCCCTGTATCATTCGGACCAACGACTCCTCTGTCGAGTGTTCTCCATGAGTATGGGAGATTGAAGTGGTTCGAGACTCTTCCTCCCAACAACATTAGGTCATGGAAGGAGTTGGCGAGGCAGTTTCTAGCCCGATTCATTACGGGGAACAAGCGGTCCAAAGATATCGGGTCATTACTGAAGCTCGGGTGGAGGGAACAGGAAATCCTTCACCAGTACACCACCCGGTACTGGGAGGAGGTCAATGAGGTAGAGGGGTGTTCGGAAGTCATGGCAGTCACATTCTTTAGGCTCGGCCTGGTAAGGGACACGGACCTAACCAATCCCTGACTAAGAAGACTCCCGTAAATATGGGCGAATTGATGGCCCAGATAAACAAATACTCTAGGATTGAAGATGAAATGGGGGGCAGCAAAGACAGAACTCTCCCACTTAGGAGAAAAGAGAAAGAAGCGGGGGACACCTCCCGAAAGGGGCTGGTACCCCCTCCAGGGGGTTATTTAAAGGTGTTCACACTATCTTCAAAGAACCCATCTACAAGTTACTCCATAAAATCAAGCATGAGCCATTCTTCAAGTGGGCGCCTAGGATGCAGAGTGATCCTTCCACCCGTGATCAAAAGGTCAAATGTTCCTATCACCAAAATTTCGGCCATCGCACCAAAAATTACAGGGTATACAAGTCTTTCTTGGAAAGCCTAGTCCAGGACGGTTACTTGAAAGAATACATCAAACCCAAGTCAGAAGAGAGACGCGGTCCTGCCCCGGCCGTGGAGCAAGACAATGTCATAGACGTGATCCATGTATGTCCACTGGATCGTCCGACGTCCAAGGAGCTTGAGTCCGATCTCAAGAGGGTAGCCTTTACGAGAAAAATTGCTGAGAGTGATGGGGGCCCGCCCAGCAAGAGGGCTAAGATTGGCGAGCCGGGTATCACCTTCTCCGACGCAGACTTGGCAGGCGTGGTGACTCCCCATAACGATGCCCTAATCATAACTCTGAAGATAAACAAGTTTGACGTCAAGAGGGTGTTGGTGGACTCCGGGAGTTCCTCTGAAGTGATGTACTCAGAGACTTTAAAGCGGATAGGCTTT